GTTACAAAAGAGGAACTAGAGAAAGTTGACAAAATAATTGTGTCAGTTTTTGTGATGGACAAGCGTTCATGCATAATTTGTCACTCCACAAAAGATACCGTCATAAAACCGTTGACGTCCCTGGGGATTAAACCACATAAAAGGCAAAGGCTTCTTCATGTGGGACATACTGTTACCCATGCCTGCCGGCTGTGAAGCGGTCAGCACACGTGACCTTATAACAAAAGCTCTAATAGTGAGGACCGAATATCAAGGTAGGCGTAGGACCAGCCGTTTCAGTGTATGAGATCCCTCCTCAGATTGTCGGGGAACACTTGGCCGCTTATCTGTGCCAATTTGGCCAGATTCTCAGTGCTTCCCCTGACGATCTGACCGGGGAATAGAGCTTTGGATCAATGGTAGATCATAAGGCCTTCGTCTCCATCCCATACTTCCTGAATGTAGAGGGACAGAAGATGCCGATCATAGCAACTGGTCCTGCCCAGAGATGAAGGTCTCTGGAGTTCTGGCTCCCGCCGACCCAAATCCTTCTCGGGCTGAGTCTGTTGTTTCCGTCTCGCCTGTAATGGGCATACCAAAATCCGGGGCCCATGTGGTAAACCCCCCATTTGGTTCCGTCTCACAGCCTTCATTCCCCGAAAAACCTTTGCTCGCCGCTTGTGCGGTTGTGGAGGAGGAAAAGGGGGAATGACAGGTTGTTGGTAAGGCTAGAGAGAAGCTCCGGGCAGCAGGTCCTCGTCCCAATGAAACCCCAACGGGAAACGACACAAACAGTCCTACTCCCCCAACCTCTTCTAAGCGTGACTCCCCGACCAGCTATTCGGAAAAACTACGACAGCAAAAGCAAAGCTACGAGTCATCGTTTGAGAAAGCGGAAAAATTGTGGCAACTGAAAGATTCTCTCAAATGGAATAATCAAGGAAAAAAAATCTGGCTCTAACTCCTCGGCACCTTCTTCCCCGTCAGCTAAACAACACATTATGACCTCTCCTCCAGTCCTAAGATCCTCATCTCCCTCTCCCACAAAAATGACAATTATTAGCACCAAAGTATCCTCTGACAAAACACCTGCAGCTACACCGAAAAAGACTGCAAAGAAGCCCATCGCCAGAAACCGTAAATCCTTCATCTCATTAAAATCCTAAACCCATTTTTAGCATAGGGGATGACGTATGCCAAGTATCCAAACAATTAGGGGACAAGGCCCTACAATATTAAAAAAATGAGGAACATTAAATCCCTGGTTAATTTCAGGAAAATTAACACCCTAGATATCGAAGACCCAAGTAATTTTCACCACACAAAAAAGGTCTTAACTGTCGTTAAAGGAGGCGAAGCCGGTCAACAAATTTGGGCCATGGTTGCAGAGGCTAATGAAGTCTTCGGGATGTTTCCACCCATGGCCTGCTTTGATAATGATACGGCGAAAACATTACAACAATTTTGTTCAAAGAGGTTCCCGCGTTTTGTTCCCCACTCCCTGTATAGAGTGTTAAAGCTAACTTTCCCTTTGGATATTGGCGACTTGTCTCCCATCAAAACTCAGATGGAAACAGGTTCGATAGGAGAGGCCGTCGGTGTCCTTTCCCCGTCCATGTTTAATGCAGGAGAGCAACCCTAAACGGTTTCATTATGTATCTTTGGTTAGCTATTCTGAATGTCCGAGGCCTGATTGCGGAGTCTCGCAGAACGGGACTCTCTCGTAACCTTCAGCGTCTCGGAGTTAAAAGTTTGTTATGTACAAGAGACCCGTACATGACTATGAGGACATTCTGTCTAGAAGGTTCTCCCTCTATTCAGCATGTGTTGATGGTCGGGCAGGCTTGGTGTGCTGGATGTTACCATAAAGGATAAGGCTCTTCTCATTGGGGTTTATACGACCAATGTCCATTCTGGGCGGCCTATTTTGTTTCGGCAGATCAAGCCGTTTTTGACATCTCGTCGGGTAGTTTTAGTGGGGGATTGGAATGCCGTCCTTGACCCCGACATAGATCGTATAGAGCCAAATTCGGGTACTTACAACTGAGACGTGAAAACATTTCGGGATTTTATCGACAGGTTTGTCGATAAGTACTGGAATGAGCACACTCAGGAAGTAATTTGGACTTGGACAGATAATGGCGGCTCGACAGTGAAGCCCCGCTGATCAGTTTAGATCAGACCAAGGCCTTCGATAGGGATGGCTATTGATCCCTGGAGGCTGTCCTTTCAGCGGCCGGTTCGGGCCGTATTTCGCAGCTGGATCCGACTTCTGTATGAGACTCCCGGTGCGCTGGTGGAGGTGAATGGGGTACTATCGCAGCCTTTCGTATTGTCTCGCTCTATTCGTCAAGGTTGTCCGCTTTCTCCTTTGCTTTACGTTCTTGCGTTGGAACCTTTCCTACGCAAGTTAAAGACGAATCCGGTCCTGCGTGGAATTTCCCTGCCCGATGACCCGGCCAGGTATTCTGCCTATGCTGATGACGTTTCGGTTCTTGTGTCGAGCAGAGCCGAGATTGACGGTCAGCAAAGAGACCAATTGTTATGAGATGGTGACAGGGGCCAAGATCAACCGCGATAAGTCTGTTGGCTTGCGGTTGGGTACCTGGAAGGGAGTTTCTCTTCCCAGACCTTTCCTCTGGACAGATAGGCCGGTCAAGATTCTCGGCGTCTGGTTCGGTCTGATCTCCAGTTGGATATGAATTGGTCGGAGGTGCGAGGGAAGGCCGACATCGCAATTAATTTGTAGTTTCGGAGGAATCTTTCATTAAAGGGGGAGGGCGGAAGTATGTGTTTCACACATCTACCAGATTCTCCTTTACGGATTCTCTCCACTTCCATTTCCATACGCCACACTAATGTCACAAGTGAGGCTCTTGTTCTCTTTCTTGTGGAGGGACAAGACCGCTATGGTATCTCGGAAGATCTATTGACTTCATCCATCTGAAGGCGGTCTGGTATTGATATTCGTCTATATATGCTTCGAGTCGCCTTCCTAGACCGAATGTGGCGCGAATCGGATGAGGAGGGCGCCTTCTGGAAGGAAGACGCCCGTAAGACTTCCCAATCTCTGAGAAGTGTGCACTCGAGCGAGAAAGAGGCCTACCGCGAATGTCGTCGTGCTCTGAAACGCCTCTTATGTGCGTTGGATGATCTCTCCAATGTCCAGGCGTTGTCTCGTAGAGTATTATATCAAGTGTTAGTCAGGGGGTCCGTTCGTGATGAACTGATTGATGAGCTCGGTCTTACGAAGCAGGAGGCTCGCTCAATATGGCCTTGGGCGCCCTGGTTGAAATGCCTCAGTAACGATGCCTCAATAACCTGGCGGAATATTCGTGGGGCCCTCTGGGTCGCTAAAAGTCTTTGTTCAGTGGGCTGGGAGAAATCTCCAAACTGCCGTCGCTGTATTGGAGAAGTCGAGACCAATGGTCACGCCTTCTTCCATTGCAGGGTTGTAGCGCCGTTGTGCAGGTTTGTTGAAGGCCTCATGGTTTGCATGCTGCAAGGAAAGTTCTTTGTCCTTGGGGGCAGTTCTGTTTGTAGCAATGTGGTGCCGCAGATGACGAAGGCTGAACATTGCGTGTTCTGTTGCTTACTAGATGTTATGAGAGTCGTGATTTGAACGACGCGTCAGAAGGAATTCTATGACGGTTAGAGGTTCATTTCCCAACTGATCTTGTACTTTAAGCATCAGCTTAAAGTCAAGATTAGGACGGAAAGGCGGCGGCTCCCCTCATCAGAATTTGACAAAAGGTGGGTGAATCTTGCGTGTTTGTGCCGCGTAAAAGGGGCTGACCTAGAATGGCATTTTGATGCCAGTCAGGAATCAGGATATTGTTGTTCATGGGTTGAACTTGGGCAACCCATTCCTGAAATTAGGTTAGTGTAAGTTTTTGTTTTTTTGATTCTTTAGTTTTTCTTTTTTTTCCAGTAAATTTAGCTAGGGTGTTTTTGCTCATTGGCCCCTTTTATTTCTGTCCGTATTTTTTCTTTAGTTTAATTCTTCATCCCTTCCCTCGTTTATGTAATCAGTGATGTCAGTTTGCTGGTAGATTCGTGGCGCTTTTCGTTTTTCGCCTGTGTATTTTTCGTTTCTGTTGTCGTCTATGAATGAGTGCGTCTCTGTGTCAGTGCTAGGGATAGATGAATGTTTTTTTATATTTTTTTATAGTCCCGCATTGATTTCGTCCCGTTACCTGATGTTTCTGCCACATTTAAGGATTGTGGGGGAGGGGTGTATTACTAACATGATTTTGTTTAGTTTCTTGGAAATTGATTATATTCATATTGTACATACACATTGGGGATTTTTTAATTTGTAATTTTTTTTATTCCCCTCCCCACACAGACAAAGAATTGTACATATGGAGATTATTTATTTGTTGTTTTATTTTTGTTTTTTGTTTTTTGTCATAGAGACAATGAGGTATTATGGTGGATGTAGTAAGAAAGGTTAGTAAAAATGTGTTTTTTTTTTGTGTTAGGAATATTGTTTGTATCAGTGTTTGTGGTTAGCTAAGTTTAAAGTTAAGACAGATGAAGGCCGTCCTTTTCTCCATCCCCTTTCTTAAGCCCTGTGCCACATTTTCTGTATTTTAACACAAATAAATATCGTAATATACTGTCTTTATACTTTTCAATGACACCAATTACACAGAAATGTAATAATGATGTTTTTCCTTAAAAAATTGAAACTAATTACTATTTGACTTACTTTCATGGGCTGCAATATTTTTTCTTGCAGGGTATAAAATAAAAGCTTTCCTTTTCCTAGATTAGTCACCGACTTGAAAGCTTGTATCGAACTTCTTATCACCAAAACCACTGTTCTAACCACTGAGCCATAAATTTTAGTCGGATCTCCATTTAGATTCCAAGCCAGTTACCTTGTGATGTTTGCCATAAACACAGTGTTGCTATCATGTTGTAAATAATGACTCTTTACACTTGAGGTCAAATTCTGGCGGCCACGTGTGAATGAGGTGTCACTGTTCGTTTCCAAATTTACCTCTGGCGCCTGGCTAATATCTTGAAACAATTTGCAGCTCTTTGAGAGGGGAGCTAAGAAAGAAAGAAAGAAAGAAAGAAAGAAAGAAAGGCATATCGACTAGTAAAGAATCAAAGATTGAAAGGAATAAAATTGAGAAAATGTTGACATGCAAAGAAACGTATGTAGAATAAGAAGCGAGAAATAAATGAAAGAAAGAATGATTTTGTAAAATAGGAAGGGAGAGATGAAAATAAGAATAAAAGAAAGGTGTGAATACATCTGTAGAGCAATGTTTACGCAAGTCCAGCTTTGGCAGATGTCAGGCTGACATTCATCATTGAAGCCAGCCGTGTTTGGCGTCGGATGCCACCACTTGATCTGATGTTGGCAATTTTTCCAGGGAATGAAAACCAAATGTTAAACTATAACCCAGGACCTTGTCCAGCGACTATGAAAGATTTTCTTAAAGAAATAACTTGGTTGGCCATCCGCTTTTCTTTTCTTATAATACTTCTCTTTTTTTTTTTATTCCATTTTTGTATGTATGTGAATTTTCGAATTTTTTCAGATTTGTCCTTATCTTTGATTTTTAGGTTTGTTTTACTTGTGAACATTATTTAAATACCTCTTAAGGAATGTTTCAACTTTTCTATGAATAGGACGATAGTTTATATACACTACAAACTATGCACGAGTCTTTCGTAAGTGGTGTTCCTATTTTTTATTAATCTAGCAAGACAATATATATTTTACAACTCGCTAAAAAGACTTGAAATACACTACATATATACGTTAGTAGCTATTTAGTACTCTGCTGCTGATAAATATAATTTATAGGATTATCATACAAAATATTCAAATATCAAATACCATTGGTGCCTACATTCTTGCAGACTACGAAAGATTATAACAAAAATAAGTGAACGTATTTTCATTTTAGTATAATTCTCTACACCTGGGAGGACGCATCTTGTTGCATGAGAAAAGTCCTAATTACAAAGTTCGTGTCGGTTTTTCATGTGAAAAGCCTTAATTTCAAAAACCGGTTTCAAAGCGAAATATCTGTTCTCCTCCCTTTAAATAGGGGTGGCGCCTGGTCCCGAGAATTCCAGCCCTGCGGTAGCACCTTCCTCATTGTTCTAAGAGGTGGGTTGGAGTAATATCAATGCCAGCGTAACTATGGTCGCGGGGACTGGGCAATTTTTGTCCTTGGTCCATATATACGCGTATGGGCTCCACACATTAAAAAAAATTATGTCAAATCCTGGCTTAGTGGGGTGGGGGTCAGATAAATAATATTCACCTAAACTAATTTATTCTTCAAATCTATTATTTTATAAACAATAAAGCGGTTATTAATAAGAATTTCTCAAGGGGTAAAATAATTTTAAAAATTTGAAAAAAAAACAAAGAAACAAGTATCCTAATTTAAACAAAAATTTATTCTGTCGTAACTAAATCAAAGCTCTCCGAAGTACCTAGCAAGAGCCTTGAACCAGACGCGCTTCCTAAGTGTAAACGAGATGAAAAAGGCATTAAGAATATAATTGGTAGTTAAGGTACATATCCCTAAGTGACTGTAATAAATACCTACGACTTATCATTTATTATTAAAAAAAAAAGTAAATATTTAACCTCATCATTAATAATGATGGATTTAAAAAAATCAGCTCTATGTAAAAGCAGTGTTATGCGCAAACTATAAATGTAATAAAATTATATATAACACAAGAAAAATTAAATAAAAAACTTAATCGCAGTACCTTGTCAGTGGTCTCTAATGAAACGTGTATAAAAGAGGAATTGCTACCCAAATACATAATTGTCATATATATTATGTTACACCCCAAACAAAGCAATAAAGCCACTAAGACTTAAGGGGTTACTTAGTGTGAAAGATTATGAGAAAAAGAAAAACATAGCGAGAACAATATGAAGAATATGAATTCAGACGGTATCTAGTAGATATTGCATTTGAATTTTTGGAGATCAAACTTAAGTGGAAAGCAAGAAGTCGGGAGATAATTCCATAAGCGAGAAGTACAAATGAAGAAACTGTTAGCACGGAACAGCTAACAATTTCGACTGTAAAATAATGAAACTTAGCTGCCAATTTAATACTACGCTTAAATTCGTAGTGTCGAGGTACCAAAGAGAAAAGTTAATCAAAATTAGCATGATAATATTTATAGAAAAGTCACTGGGAAACTACGTTAGGGCGGTGGGAAAGTGACTGAATCGGAGATGTCAAGACTGATAACATTGCAGATTGTTCTTTTGATTTTATTCAAGGATTTAGATTGCAGAAGTGCAAAAGTAAACTTTCCAAACTTTCTCTTCTCATCCATTAGAAATCGTCTTCCAATACTCTACTGAATGCCCTTGTCTGATAGTGGAACTTTATCGATCCACAAAATCTTATATATTAAGTGAAGAGCAAATCACCGAAACATTACAAACGTCATCAGAAGTACGACAAGGTTAAAATGAGAGCCACAATCAGTTTAATCTCTTCTTGGATTATGATTTGCGAGTGTCCAAGAACGGATGTGAAGAAATAGCCCGTGATCATTAAAAAGTATCTGTTTCCTTTCCAAAAGCCGGTGTACCAATGATATTTGTATTTGGTATAAGAATGACCTTGATAAAAAAAAAAAGAAACAACATTCTCTAGCAAGTGTTCTAAGAAGTAAGACTCAAGGTAAACATTTTCAAAACAGAAACAATGATCTGGAATTGAAATGGAAATAGCGATGTCACATAACATGAATTTTAGAGTAACGCATATATAACTATATCTATCACTAGACTTATGAAATAATCTGATATTTACTTATTAATTTACACCTAAACCATCTAAATATTTCTTTATAATCTTCATAGGCTGTAAAATTCCCCTCATTTCTTTTACTTCATATGTTTTATATTTCTCAGAGCTCAAATTTTTGCAACTATAGCTTTTATCATCACTTTTTCAACATACACATTTCACAATCTCGCCTTTTCTAATAGGCACAACAATAACGTAACGTGTCTAAAACTACGTGTTTTCATTATCAATTAAGCTACGGCTCTTGAATCTGAATCTGAGACTCTTTCTAAGCTCTCAACCCCAGTAAATAAATATCGTGAACTTTTTTTTCCTAAATCTTGCACTTCTCCAGGTCATATTTCAGATGAATGTAGTTAATGGTCTCAGGGTGGTGTGTACATCAAATAGTATTTATTACACAAGGAAAGGATTGGTATTAGTAATCCCATATTCCATCTTTACTGCTTATGTAGTTATATATATTTGCATAATATGTGTATAACTGATTCAATTGTTTTAACTCCTCTTTATTTTATTTATTTCAAAGATAGTCTTTTAAAAGAAATAAAGTCAAGAAATACGTTTGCTATTATGCTGATTTTGGGTGGCTTAGATGTGGCACAAGGCCGAACGTATGAGGATCGAACTTACTACTTAGTCGTAATTAGTCTAGCGAGAGAAGCTCATTATACCACGTCGAGGTGCCCATGCCGACGGGAAATAAGTAAATCAGTTTAAGAAAAAAAAATAATCATATCTAATTATAATGTAACCTCCTTATGCCGGAATCGTGAATAAGCAAGATACACTCACGAGTATTATTAATACTGAGTTCGATTCCTAGCTGGTGCCCACAACTGTAGTCTTTTGTACAAGATGTCTTGAAGATTGGCAAATAGTTAACCAATTATGATGTTAACCATAACCAAGCTTTGCCCTTGAAAAATACTAAAAACTCTTTAACACTAAACCTTAACTTAGTAGAAATGAATTCGAAATGAAAGTAAAATTACAGATTTTCACTAAAAGGAACACCAGAAAAAAAAGTTATTAAAATAGTGTTTGCTTTATGGCGAAATATCTCGTTACATTTTGAGTTATTAAAATAGTTTTCATTTTGTGCAGGATTCGTAAATAAACTTAGAAAGGACATTCAAAATGCTTCTAGTGAAATTTCTCTGAAAGAGTGTTTTTATTCAATTAAAATATTAAAACATGGAAAGAAAACTACCTTATATATATATATATATATATATATATATATATATATATATATTTTTGTTTTTCTTCTTGAAAATATCTTTTTAATTTCTCTTTTTTTCCCAGGGTATCTAAATAACACAAGGAAAGTAAAAAAAATGTTTTCCAAGACACTTATGTCATTTAGGGTCCCGCATAAAATGTCGAAGGTGAAAATTGAAGGTCCAAATGAAAATCAGACTGAATAATTTTTCAGATTTTTAATCCTATGGTCGATTCAAATGACAATTAAATTTACTAGAAAAGAAAAATTGTAAAATATTTTTTAAAAAATTAAGTATCAATTTTTCAGACGTTTTTTATTCGTCATCGGCATCTCGCCAAGAGAGATATCTCCAACCGAAACAGTGTGAATTGATGGATGTCAACCAGCTTACCTCAACTAATTTATCGTACGGGTAGAACGGAAGTACAAAATTCGCGCCAATTTTAGCGCGCCGATAGTGTTAATTGATATTATTACACAAAAATTTTCATTGTCTGAAATTAAAAATTAATTTTTTTTTTAAACATGATAGAAATAAAGTAACAGTTACTTTATTTCTTTTTTTTTTTTAGAGCCGTTACGTCATATATTTTTTTTTCAGAAATGATCTTCCGTAGATACAAAACACGCAATATACTATTACATTTCAAATGCTCATTTTTGATAAACTGGTTATTTAAAAAAAAAAAAAAAAAAAAAATTTACAAAAAACCCCACGTTTGAAAAATAATTTTGAAATAAAAAAACCACGTTTTATTTTTATTTTTTAATACAAACAACGAATTTTTTGCTTGCAATCGATTTGAGACTTTTTTGCGAAAATTTGGTGGCCCTTGATAAGACTTTTTTGGGTGGCACTTGATAAGACTTTGGCAAAATTTCGTGGCAATAAGACTTCATCTATTTGCCCATAGTTGGGACCCTCAGGTGCTAACTCCCACCTTTTTCATCAAGACCTGTAACAAATTTCTTTGTATTTACCCAGACCAGCTCATTGTTATTTTTGTTTTTATTTAAAATTTCAAGTCCCGAAAATATAGTCTTTTATTTATCTTACTCTTCTTCATTTTCATTCGTATAATAAATTACTCTTTTTCTTATCAACCAAATCAACTGTCCAAGTCCTATTTTGTTGACTTCACCACCCAATATTTTTTTGAATATTTTCAGCAAAATCAATTGAAATTAGTGGAAACTTTTCCATTCCAAAATCTAGTCCTT